ATGCTTATAATTCAAATTATGATAACCCACATGCATTATCTTGCATTTATTACAGTTAAAACCCATTTATACGCCCAACTCCAAATACTATTGTAAAGCATCAGCATTGCTCTCACAGCCAACAACATCCAAAGCCTTAATATGATCTGCAAGTTTTGGAAATTTATTAGCAATTCTTTCATCTATGTCACTGATGTAAATCAAAAACAGCAAAGGTCCTAAGACTGAGACCTGAAGAATTCCACTTACAACATTAATCCAGTTTGACTGAACTTCATTTATAACAACCCTCTGCTTTCTTCCATCTAGCCACTCTTCTATCCAATTTGTTAACTTATCCCTCACACCTATAGAGATATCTTTTTTTTCACAAGCCTCTTGTGTGATATCTTGTCAAATGCTTTCTGAAAATCCACATACACCAAATCTACACCCTTACCCTCATCTACATAAGCAGTAACCTTTTCAAAGTATGTCAAAAGATTTTTAAAGCAAGATTTTCCCTTAGTGAAACCATGTTGACTATCCAATAGAATTCTAAACTTTGTTAAATAACTTTTCAAAGCATTTATTATCAGACTTTCCAAAACTTTTCCCACAACTGATGTAAGAGTACTAGGCCTATAAGTTTTTATCACCTCCCTTGAAAAGAGGAGTTAAATTAGCTAACTCCCATTCCTCTGGTACCTGCCAACTACTCAAGGACTTACAAAAAATAGTAGCAAGTGGTTCACATATCAAATCCTTAACCTCTTTCAAAACCCTTGGAGAAACATCTGGCCTAGGAGCCTTATCATTCTTTAAACTTCCCAATTTTTTTTTAACAAGCCCAGAATTTAAGTGATCATCTTGTTTCCATTTATGAACTGTTCAAGATGAGGAATATTACTTAAATTTTCATTAGTAAAAACTGAAGAAAAAGCAGAATTTAATAACCCAGCCATCCCATACTCATCAGATACAAGATTTCCTTCACCATCCATCAAAGTTCCTACCCCCATTCTAACATCTTGTTTAGCCTTAATGTATTTAAAGAAATATTTATTGTTAATTTTGATTTGTTATGAATTTTGCGCAAAGCTACACAAGGGCCATCTGCACTATTGTTAATTTTTATATTTTCAGCCAACCTTTCCTCATACATCATTTTTGATGTCATAATTTCTTGTTTCACCAACTTTCTTTATCTTCTAAGCCTCCTGTCATACCATTCAATTCAAAATTATTAAATTTATGATGCTATTCTTTAATTTTAT